TACACTTCAAGAAGGTTATGACATAGAAACATGGGTAAGCAATCATATGCTCTATGGCATTGCCATTGTGGTATGTGACCTTAGACTTAAGTGAGGATCAGTGCTAGTTTATGACCATCAACATTATATATACGAGAATGTTAGCAAACTGCAGAATATACCTACATGAATTTTTTGAAAAAATTACATATACCTGAACAACGATGTATTATTTTCTAAATTATAGAAGGATAAAATTTAGCAGTTTGTAACTGTTACACACATATATACACTCACTTTTGAAATGATATCATATGGAACATTTTGTGTGGCTTATGTTTTTATTTTTTTTACTTTAGTTTAAAATGGTTTTCACCTAGGCTTTAACAGAGGTGTTGCTTGTATTCATATATAACTTTGTAATTAATATTAACTTCTAATCAGAGCAAACTACCTACTTAGAGTGAAACCAACCTGATCAAGAGTATAGCTAATTAAGTATATTTTTCTTGTATGTTTACCAGGGCTGGATTATTTTTAAGTTTGTGGGAAGGCCCTGGGGCAAACTCTTGTGGGGAGGGGGCTAGATATATATGAACAAGATACTTTTATGGTAGAAAATATGGATTTAAGAAGAGATTTTATGCATGATATCACTAGTAAAGCCATTTATTGGTGAAATAGAGCACAAACTATCATACAGAGTTGAAAAATGTAACTAATAAATGAATGACATTAAAATTAGGCCTGGCATGGCCAGGTGGTTAGGGTGCTCAACTCGCAATCTGTAGGTTGCGAGTTTGAATCCCCGTCACACTCAACATGCCTTTTCAGCCATGGGGGCATTATAATGTTATAATGTGAAGGTCAATCCCACTAATCAGTGGTATAAGAGTAGCCCAAGATTTGGCAGTGGTTAGTGATGACTAGCTGCCTTCCCTCTAGTCTTACTGAGAAATACTCTAACTCCTTCAACCAACCTACAATAGTTTCCAGGACATGTTTTTTCTAATAAAGCAGTTATCTTATCACATGTAGTAGAAGAAAGGTAATTTGCATGACCACGCCCTTTATTGGCACGCTTCCAAATATGCTGAGCTAAGAATGAATCATATTCTGAAAGCAATTCCATCAAACCAAGGAAATTCCCATTGTTAGGTGAGCCAATTATCTCATCTGATCATCAGAATGTAAGGCTTCGCAGTGCAAGAAAACTTATATCACTAACACTTTGCTTTAGAACCTGGCACCAGTAGGATTGAATTTCGTTTGATTGCTTGGTAACTTTTTTGTCAATATGGCCTGATGCATCAGCTCATTTCACTAGCAGAACGAAGTTCTCACAATGTATCTTTGAACATTCGTGTTGCTCTAGTTTGCAAGTAGATTTTTTCCAGTCTCCATATCCAACTGTAGCTAAATGTCCGAAAGCATTGAAAATCTTGCCGGTGGAGGGAGAATAACATAACCATGATCGAAGAGCTTTTTTGCTGTTATGTAACTTTCTCTCAAATGAATTCTTTGTGCAGGATCACGTTGTTGTACCTTCTTGTCCATGAACCTTCTGAACTGAATCATCAAAGGGTCTGTCTGTGTTAGCAATAGTCATTGGACCTTTCTTAGCCAATATCCAGCCATTTGTTCTGATATTATCTCAAGCCACAATCCTATGTCATAAAAAACATCATTCTGATTTCTTTAGTTTATACTGCCTTCATCTGAAGAATCATGGATACAGCTATCAAACGATTTTCTCAACTATCTCTATGGTTTCTGATTGTTCATTGAAATTCAAACAAAACTCCTCAATTATGTCACAGTATGACTTGGACGTAATGCTTCTTGAGTGTCATGTTACATACCTCATTGTGGAGTAGTGACTGAATAGTTGGCTGATGCAAAAAACCCGGGTATCTTCATGGACTTTAGTACATCACCTACTTCACAGTCTTGGTTTTTCTTTTTATTTTCATTCCCTCTTCTCAGCAACACTTGGGTAGCACTGACATCTATGTAACTTATATCTGTCCTCATTCATATCCACTGATGTACAAAAAGTCTAATTGGTGTCAATTGTAACTCAAACAGCAAAACACAGTCTGGGAGGAGAAATTAACATAATTAACAGATTATATTTCACAATAATAAAAACACAAGGAAATGAATATAAATAAACATTTCAAACTCACTGGAGTAATTGTCAGCTAAGAATGAAATGGAATGTATAGCTTAATAAATATTAAAGTATAGATATATATATGTTATTATGAATATCCTGGACCTATTAAAAAATAAGCCTGGCTTGAGCATTAGTCTAGCCTAGATATATGGAAACTTATACGAATAGCCGATGTCTATATTAAATGATGTTTCTGGCCTATTAGATTAACATATATATATATATATTGAAAAAAATTTAATTAACTTATTAATGTCAGGGTAGCATTAACTTTATGTATGTTTTATAAATCCAAACCACAATAGGAGAAAATGAATTAAAATTCAGTTATAGTTAAACTTGTATATTGAAAAGGTCTAGCTAAGGCAACTAGGCTATATTATGGTACTTTACATTGAATTAATGCAACATTTAAAGAACAATTTTGTTCCTTTACACATTTAAGTAGCCTAAACTGAATTAGTTGTACCAGAAGGAAAACTGATTTCTATATATTTTCCCCTCTTCCATGACTAACATTATTTATTAATTAAGCAAAGCATTAATAATTGACATTACACTATATCCAACAATTCTTAACACTTGAAATCCATAAGCAAAATGATTAAATTTTCTTTAGAAATATGAAAAACCGTTATTTGAAAGTAGTAAGCTAATAGACTGGGAGTCTACACAATTAAGTTAACATTTCAAACTTATGTTAATTTCGATTAGAAGCATCAAATCTTTAAAAAGATATTCTTCATTAGATTTAATTATCAGTGTATATTTATTTCATTTAAATAAAGCATCATAAGCAGAATATATAATTGGCTTATGGAAATCCAGTTGCATGAATAATTTAGATTTTATATCCATAACATGGATAAAATAATTACATTACATTATCCATGATTTTATAACACAACTGTTACCAGATCAATTTAATAAAAGTCAGCAATACTTTGTAACAAATTTCTGGACACAAAATAGATTTGATTCATGTAGCATATACTGCTTGTATACATTTCTGTTGTACACTTCAGACCTATAAATTCCTATAAATATCCTAAATGATAAACGTTGTACAATAAACTGAAGCTTAACAAAGATTCTACTTAAATGATCAAATTTTGTGGGGGGACCCCTAAATCTGAAAAACCGTTATTTGAAAGTAGCGAGCTACACACACATTTAGGGGCTCACCACAAAAATTTTAACGATTTGATGATTTTAATAGTAGTTAATAAGTTGGAAGTGCTAACTTAATTGATTAAACTCCCAATCTACTGGTTCTTGAATAGGCAACAGGGTCACGTGCCCTGCCCCCCCCCCCCCCTGCCCCTGGTTTTTACTTTTAAAAATTAGAAGACATTGTTCTGTCATTTGGGTACCCTCACTGTTAACAATATTTTTAGCCAAAATCCCAGTAATATCTCAAAAAGTTTAGCAGCTTAGGAGGTTTTGTTTAGTCCTAAATACTTGAAAGCAATGTGTAGGTGGTCAAAGCTATTTTGTTACAGTCAAACTGCTGTTGACTAGTAGTATCAGTAAAGTTCAGCAAATTTCTTGATTAGTTTTTTTGTACTGTAGATCATTCCACTCGTGTTTTGTTTTTGTTTCTGACAGTTTTTGACGAAAGCTGGATTTATGCTAGAAAACAACTCCAAGTGTCTCTATCTAGTACATAAAAGTAATTAATCTTTCTTATTAGTTTTGTAAATTTGCTATTAGTTATTACATTTGTTATGCCCAGTTATATGTGCTATTTCTTTGTTAAGAACCTCAGTTTTAGTCAGTAAAAGTAGTGTCTATCAGTGAGTGGATTCTGACTTACTCAATAATTACAATAATTACTTACAATAATTACAGTAAATACTCAAATAAATATACACACTGTTCTCATCTATTCTTCTAAACAAGACTTATTTAGTGGACATCCCAACCTTAGGCTTGTTATTGTATTTTGAATGTTCTTACATTCCTGAAATTAAGTGTTTGATTTCTGCACTAACTTGATGTGGGCCTAAGGCTGAAATGTCACTAAATAAGTCTTATTTATAAGATTATATGGGAAAAAAAATATCCATTTATTGTGTATTTATTACAGCTCTAGTATTTCAAGACTCCAGAAATTTATAGCTTTATTTCTTATTCCTTTAGGTATGAAAATTTCAAGTATTATTATCTGATTCTTGAGAGAATTGATATAGTTTTTCTGAAAACATTTGAATTGATGACAGAAAAAAATACCTAGAAAAGTGTATACTTTATTACACTAATTACAGTGTAAAAAATAAATAGAAAAGCAGATTAGATAACTTTCGAGTTTATGTGTTTGCAGGAGAATCCCTACCTTCAGAGAAGAATGTCAGATCCCAGCTCAAATCTCAACAATTTTGTTCGAGGCTGGAGGGCTAAAGAAATTAAGAAGTCCCAGTCTGAAAATGAAGGAGTAGATTCCTTTGTTGATGGAATCAATGAAATTGAAGCAGGGGATCTACGAGATGGTAAGGTCATGAAAAAGATCTATGGCAATTTTCCTGCATACAAAGTATACAAGCCTTATATTTTACTGTTCCGAAATAGTACTACCTCCTCTCCCCCATAGCTATCTCGACCTTCATTTGCCCTCTAGGCATTATTAAACTTTTTAAAAGTACACCAGTCTTTTATACCCCCTATATTTTTTGCATCATTGCAGC